CCCCTTAACCCCCCTCCACCCCTCTAGTTCTGCGTCTCTAAGTCATCGATCATCTGCCCCCGGTGCCACAGACGGTGTCATAACATGATAATGCGGCTTCACGCGTTTGGCGGGGAGGCGTGGGGCTCTAAACCCGGAGCTCAGGGGTCCGGTGGGAGCCTGCACCGGCCGGTGAGGAGCCCCGCAGCCCGGGGGGAGAAGCTCCGGGGCGCGGATTTTTACGCACGGACAGACCGGAGCAAAAACAAAATAAATCGGGGGCTGTCTTTAGCCATTTCAGTGGTTTTGTTGGTGAGTACAAGCTCTCCTACTCTTTTCCTACATTTTTATTTTAAGGTAGTGTCAATAATTAACAAGTGGCGGAATTATTTAAACGTATTTTCTTGATGGAAAGTTATTTTAACCAAAGTGGAAGCCGCAGTTTAAAATCTACTTTCATCCTAAATTGTGGGTTTAGTGAAGCACAACCAGGATTAAGCTGCCCACAATGCAAGAGCAACTAAATTCTAGCGAGTAAGTGAGAAAAAATAAGAAAGCATTAACATGAAAGAGGCTCACATCAACGCCTGCTCCCCGTAAAATAACTTCTATTGCATTATAAAGCAATTAAGCTCCTTCAATTAGCATCCATAAAAGCTAAGTGGAGCACAACTCACTCTCCTGGAGCTGCGCGATTGGTGAGGGTCAGCGCGTTTGGGTCTCCTGAAAGGGAGCATGGGGGCAAATACCGTCACTTCTGCTTAATCCGCTTTGCGATGACGGTAATGCTCTGAGTCGTCTGAATGAAATCACTAATTATTACTTTCAAGTGGCTGGGTGTAAAATGACAGCGCGTTTGACTGTTTAAATAAAAGAATGTGCGTGTAAACAAAGACGAATGATAGCTATTTTGTTGGGTTTATTCAGGAAAACAAATATTAAACACTGGAATTGAGAACTATACGTTCACTGTTCCGCCTGAAGTTACACGATTGTTCAGATGCTAATAGAAAGAAAAATAAAACTATCAGGTCATTTTTTTTGTTGGAGGCCGTTTTTGACAAGCGAGAAAAAAAATATATATATATATACGTATATATGGCACCAGGTCAGAGATTTGAATAAGTGTTGGACTTCATGTGGTCACTTGTGTCTGTGTTCAGGCTGGGGAGTCAAACTGAGGTCAAGCCTTCTGCAGCCCCTCAGCTCTGTGTCCAGACGTGTTTGGATCTGCAGAGAGGGCCACTGAGCTCCTCTGGTCTCCGTTATTTCTGCAGCACAAAAGCTGAGCCCTGCTACAAAGATTTCATAGTTTATCAAATCATACGTAAGTACTCCTGTGCTGGTGCCTGTCAGAGCCTCCGGTGTTAAGTGTATTTAAACTCAGGGAGACATTATTCAGTAAGAAAAAAAGGACAGTTTTCTGCCTCAGATTTACAAATGGTCTGCAAAGCCTTATCAGATGTTCACGTGCATGTAAATATTATTCAGAATTAGTAATATCATTTTAAAGTCTAAATAATATTTAGATTTTTTTTGTTGCCAATAAATTGTAGAAAGTGTATGAAGTAAAGAGTTTCAGTGGTGGGTGGGAGAGAGTGGGCTATTTTATGAGTAAAAAAAACAGTTATATTTTGGGACTAAGAATAAGGAAAATATCGTAATAAATACTATCATTTGGCTTAAAAAACAAACTAAATAAAACATAATATTAAAATGTGCAAAATTAATTTCAAACGTTAAATCAGCCGCATCGTGTTTTATCAGGAGTCAGTCTTTCCTCTGGGAGCATTTCCTCCTGCTGTGTCCTGCAGTTTGGCCAAATCGTTCCTCTGAGCGGCTCGTGCATTAATGCTTAATCATTTGCGCCTTCTACCGGCGCTTTTGGGAACTGCACCCACAGAGGAGCATCCCTGCTCAGGTCATCAGGATGAAAGAGCCAATCTGAGCTCCACTCTTCAACTTTTAAGTTAATTTTGGTTGAATATCTGCCTTGTAATTGCATTTATGTATTGCTATATTTTTTTATGGTCCTCGTCGATGCTTGTAATTCAGCCGTCCAATAAAATAAATAAATAATAAATAATCATGCTCAGTGGCTTTTGGAGTCCTGCCTTTGATTTCTGGTGTGAAGTGCTTTGTGTGTGTTTATGTGTTAAATTTAAATTTAGCTTAATTTGAATTATAAGTTTTAATGTTGTTTATTTCCTGAGAAAATAAAAGAACAGAATTGATGTCTTACTGTAGTTAGTCCATATAATGTCTCCCTAAA